AGTTTAGAGTATTTTTTTTTCCATTGCAAAAATGCAGGTTGTAATTACTAGCAGCTGATGAATTAAGAGAGAAATGAAATTAAATCTGTACAATAGGTCTCCCTCAGGAGGTAATCTCTGTTGAAAGGTGCAATTTCCACACTCCTAACAGGAGATCCATCACTACTAGGTAGTGATTTTTTGTTGATCCTTAGGATGGTATTGTAAGCTCTATCAAACTGTTCACAGAGTAAAATACAGAACCTGGCACAAACTAGAACACTAACTTTTTGACCTGACCTTCTTCATTAAATTACCACTCCCCGCTTCTAGCTCTGAGGGGTTTAATTGTTGGGGTTTTCCAGGTGCTCCCTCCTCCTCCAAGTAACATGTCCTGGACTAGTATTTTGACAAGAACTGTAACAAGCAGTTGGAAACAAGGATGCCAGAGTCATCTGCTTGCTAAAAGGTCAAGTGGCAAAGCAAGGACAACTGACCACAGGATGCAAAGTGAATTTTTGCTTTCTTGTTGATTTAAATCCATGCCAGGGGAGAGCAAAAAAAGCACAGAATCTAAGGGATACATAAGGCATTCAATTTCTGCAGAAGGTAGAGGGCATTAAGATGCCTAACACATTTCAAGATTTGGCTGTATTGGGTTAGAGGAGAGACAGCTTCACTTTGAAGCCAGGCAAGAACAGTTCAGGACTCCCACGTGCATTCTGCTCGTGTTGAATGGTGACTCCACTTTCCAATGACTCAGGTTTCTGCTGCTTGGCAGCGAGCAAAGCTCACAGATCTCTCTCCATCTTTAGCTGTCCTGTCCACAGTACAGCTGTCCCACCAACCAAAGCTGTTGCAGAAATCATGCCTAAAGCACAGCAGAGTCTCCACATACACCATGTTTCCACATAGGGGCTTTCCCTGTAAGCTGATGCTCCTTAGCAGAGGAGCTGGGGCTGACTTTCTCACTATCCACATCATCTTCTCCTCCTCCTTGAGACTTACACAACATTGGTATGTCAAAACCAGAGGCTGCAGGTTCAGTGCCAATAGAGCCAGCATTCTGAGGTGTGGGAGCATTGCCAAGCAGTCTAAAACAAGTCTTGGAATAAGTTCTGTGACAGATAACTAAACCTCCCACATCTACCCCTGCCTCCTCTCCAGTTCTGCAGCTGAGCCTGGGGGAGAGGAGTCAGGGTGTCCCTTCAGCATCGCTCTCAGATGAGTCATTACCCCAACTGTACTTTTAAGCCACCAAGACAATGACTTTGAATAAATGAACATAACAGGAAATTTCCTGTGCATGGTTTGTTACTATATGGTAATGAGCATATCTACAACAACTGTATGAGGCTGAGATGAAGAATTTCCTTCTTTTTTTCTGCTAAGTTGATCCAGCACTACTAAAATTGGCCTCTTTTAGAACAGGATCAGAGCACTTCACTTCTTAACATATTCCCCAAGATACTATTAAGTTTGCTCACATGAGAAATGCCTGAAAGAGCCTAAAACTCCTACACCAAAAGCCACGACATGAAATTAGCTGAATCAACAGCTTTTGCTCTTCTCTTTTTCTTACAGCTGTTCCTCCTGAACCTTGGATAGAGGAGCTGAGAGTATCTTATAATGGATTTTTCTTCTACTGCTCTGAAAGTGGGGTTGGAGTTACCCAAGGCAAATAAAAGTTACTTCCTATTTAGCAAATCTTGTCTTTGTTTCTCGGCAGATTCTCAGAGCAAACTGTAACTGAGTCCAGCAGCCTGAGGAAGGCATTTCACATACTGAGCTCCAGTGAGGGCAGCACAGAATGCAGATGGCCCAGAGGGTTTGATGCCCATGGTGTAAGTGCAGCCTCCCACATCCTACAGTCAGATTGCTCCTATTGACACACCTGCTTGTTCATTACTTCTGGAAAATGACCCAAAACCCTGGGTATGCAGCACTTGGGAGGTTAGTGGAGTGAAGGTGACTAAATCTACATCTAGAGCGTGCTTCTTCCTCTGTGACTGACTTGGATGCACCCTTTCCCAGCCTTTGCAGCAGGCAGGGAAACAGCAGAACCAAGCCAGATGGGCTTTAAAACCACTGTTCCAGACTGTTCCTGCAATTCTGTGTGCAGCTCCCTGTCATTTCCCTTCCCACCAAGGAAAGGTACCCCAGTGCACTTCTTCCCTTCTGCACCACTAAATAGACAATGGCAGAGGAAAAGAGAAGCTGAGCCTGAAGAGGACGAGCAACAGTGGGAGTGTCTCGAATTGGTCTCTAGGCCCAAACAGAAACCGACACAGGATCATGACCATCAGCAGAATTGTTTGCTCTCCGCATGTTTCACCTCAGCTGGAGCACTCTTTTTCATCTGTGCAATGCCCATGTAGTTAAGAGTAATTCAGCTCTCCCTGCAGAGTGAAAAATCTTGGCATAGAAAACAACAACAGAGAAAAGAGACTGAGACTTCACTTCTGCAGTGAGCCCACGGAGCTGCTCTCCCTCCCATGCACCAGCTGTGGTGCTGTGTGGGTCTCAGAGCTCCCCCTTGCTGAGCACAGGGACACCTTGCATTCCAGGCAATCCCTTTCTGGTCTGGAACAGAGGTACAGGCCAGCATGGTAGATCTTCACGCACTCCTTGTACTCCCCTACGCTGGCAGCTCAAGGAGTCACTAGCCCTGCTCTTACTCTTCCCACACCGTTCCTCAAAGCCCTAATGAGCAGCTTTGCACAACCCCTTCAGCCTCCCCACCTGGGCTGTTCATTAGGGCCTGACACTCTGCATTATGTGGGAAGGCTCCCTATGGATGGGGAATGTCTGGATTTAATGGTGGGTCTTTCACACCACCAAAGCAGCATGGAAATGAGAAGCATGATCAAGGGACCAAACATAAGTGCAGGCTTATAAAATCTGTATGGAGTAAGACAGATACAGAATCAATTTGAGCCTTTATCTGTCTATAGAGTTTATCTACAGAATGCTCCAAATGCTGAATGGAGTAGATATACTGCTCACCTCAAATCTAGAGTTCCTGTTACAGGCAAAATTCATACTAAGTTTCTGAAATGCTTCCAATGCACCCCAGCAATCTTCCCTACTTGTGATAACACAGCTCAAAAGTGCAGTGTTTCTTCCAGATAGTGATGATATTTTACTTTTTTTCTCTACAATGAGGTTTATCACAAGGGGATTTTAGTAACATTTACTTAGGAGCTTTACTGTTCTACAAACAATAATTTCAGAGAATCTAAACTAGTGAGCGAGTGCAAGAGACCTCATCTTGCTCCTCCACTCCTAAGAATGATTCATTTTGGCCATATGACAGGGTCGCATCCAGGATCCTCAAGATTTCTGTGGAGGACTCCAAGCACTCAATGTTTCCAGAAAATTCACATACACAATCACCTGAGAAAAATAAGCAACCAATACTGGTACAAAACCAGGACTCGATCTACCATAAAATGGAATGTCTGGCTGTGACACAATCCCTTCCCCTTTTCAAGGTAAAGAACTAAATGCAATTCACTAGCCTTTCTCAATATCATTCTTATGCCCGAAAAGATACATTTACTTTCAGAAGGAAGGCATTGCAAGTACCTTCCAATAACATACCAAGCCAACTTCTTCCTTCTCCACTTGTTTCTCATTTCCCAGAGCACTCTCAGATCCTTGGGGTCTGCTCTATGTTTGGGTACAGTTCATTCTGATTATGAACCCTGCCAGAAAGCAGGGGGTGTGAGCAGACCCTGCCCCAGGAGTTCACCCACACCTCCAGAAACATCAGCCGGCAAAAACAGTGCCAAGGGTGGGGGGCAACTTTGGCACAGGACCTTGGCAGGGCTGGGAAAGTGGGGCAAATACTGTCCCTCTGAGGGGCTCCCTGCCTTCCAGGCTGACATGACCTCCTTCTCTGCAGCTCCTGGCTGGGAACAGGGCAGGGGAAGGGCTCCCCAGGGTAAGCACACAGGACAGCCTCAGGAGAAAGGAGCACCAAACGGCTCAAGATCCTCCCCTCACGATACCCCGAGGAAGAGGGACAGCTGTGCTGTGGCTAACGCGGGGGCAGCCCGAGGCAAGGGCGGCTGAGGGAAGGCTTGAAGGGCACTCTCGGGAGCCCAGGGAGGCTGAGGGCGGGCAGGGACGGTGGCCCCGAGGCACCCGGCAGGCTGAGGGCGGGCAGGGGCCCCGAGGCGCCCCGGGAGAGTGAGGGCGGGCAGGGACGGTGGCCCCGAGGCATCCGGGAGGCTGAGGGCGGGCAGGGGCGAAGCACACAGGACAGCCTCAGGAGAAAGGAGCACCAAACGGCTCAAGATCCTCACGCAGCGATACCCCAAGGAAGAGGGACAGCTGTGCTGTGGCTAACGCGGGGGCAGCCCGAGGCAAGGGCGGCTGAGGGAAGGCTTGAAGAGCGCTCTCGGGAGCCCCGGGAGGGTGAGGGCGGGCAGGGGCGGTGGCCCCGAGGCGCCCCGGGAGAGTGAGGGCGGGCAGGGACGGTGGCCCCGAGGCGCCCCGGGAGGGTGAAGGGCGGGCAGGGGCCCTGAGGCGCCCCGGGAGGCTGAGGGCGGGCAGGGGCGGTGGCCCCGAGGCACCCGGGAGGCTGAGGGCGGGCAGGGGCCCCGAGGCGCCCCGGGAGGCTGAGGGCGGGCGGGACGGTGGCCCCGAGGCACCCGGGAGGCTGAGGGCGGCCAGGGACGGTGGCCCCGAGGCGCCCCGGGAGGCTGAGGGCGGGAAGCCGCAATCCCACCCTCAGCCGCCCCAGCCCGCGGGTACCTGAGGGGCGGGGCGGGGCACGCGAGGCCGCGAGCAGGTGCGCCCTGCCCCCGCCGCCTCCAAGGGCCAATCAGAGAACGCGGGGGCGCCTCACGCGCCGCACAGGGCCGTGGGCAGAGGGGCGGGGCCTCCTTCCCCCCTCACACCCTGCCCGCCCTTCCGTCCCCTCGGCGCGGCGGTGAGCGGCGCTATGAAGTATCGGTTTAGGTTATTTATTTATTTATTTTGTCCTGCGGCCGCCCTGAGGCACAGGAGGGTGACTATTTGCAGTATTTGTCGGTGTCCAGGTGCTTGTGCTCGGGGTTGTAGGGTGCCTTGGCGAAGCACATGGCAGCGGTGCGGTCGCAGTTGCAGATGAACGCGGCGCAGTCCTTGTTCTCGCCTGCAGGAGAGAGAGGAGCGGTCAGAGCCCGCGGCTCCTTCGCAGGCGCTGCGGTGGCTCGGGCTGGCGTTTCTGCTGTCATGGTGTACCCGTTTCACTGCTGCCTTCGTTCTGGGGGTGCACAGGCTTCTGCCCACTAACCCACTGCCCCGAAAGCTGTGTGTTCCAGCCAAGCCATCTCTCTCCTTGCCCCTTCCTCCCTTCCCTACAGCCCTATTTTCCAACGTCTGCTCTTTACCTCTGTTCCAGAGCCCTGTAAAATCTCCACTATTCATTAGAGGTGTCTGGCAGAAACTCTATAACAATGCCAAGTTAACATGCTGATCTCTTGGATACTGCCATTAGAAGGCCTCCCAGAAAAGTACTCAATCCCCTGAAGACTAGACAGGCTGCTCTGTACTCTGCTGTACCATATATCTTCACAAACTTGGAATTGTGGGCTATACAGAGAACACTCATTCCAGTGCCTGTGTGAGGTGCCCTCCTTCTAACGACCAGGTCCCCTGGCAAGAGCTTGCACAGTGCCTGCCCGCTGCAGAGGTGTGAGTGTGACACAGCCCTGCTCTTTCCTAAGAGAGGCTGGAGAACATCTGGAGTGAAGTGGAAATGGACGTACTGCTACATGTGATCTGCCCATTAGAGCAGCTGTAGTGGTACAGCTTAGTGTAGGGGTTGTCCAGGAGGAATTTGCAGGATTCCATTTTCATTGCCTGGGAGTAGCAGTTATCATGTGCTTGGCAGCACCTGGGAAACAAGGAGAATAAGGTTAGAAAATACCAGAATCACAGGCTCAACTGACCTGTAAGACACACAAATATGTTAGATTTGCTTTGACAAGGCTCTTTACAATAAAAAAAAATCAAAAAAAAAAAGATAGCCAGCAATAAGAGGGCAGACACAAAGGACCTCAAAGGGATACAGTTGTGCCAGCTCATGGTCCAAGAGGTGTCTGGTAAATATGTCCTTATGGGAGCATCTTCACAGTTGTCCACTGGGCAGGGAAAGCCAAAGCCAGTGTTTACCCTACACTTCCCGTCAGTGCCTGGTAGCTGACCAGCTCTCAGCCAAGACAATCCAAGACACAGCTGCCAGATTTGTGTGTCTCTAAATTGCCCATGCCATTTCCTAGCATTTTGCAGCCCAACCTGTACATGTTGATGCTCAAGCACCAGGCAGAGTGTGCAGAGCTGCATCCAGGCTGCTGGCCCAGAACTACTGCAGAATAAAAAATGCAGGAATGAGCACACTGTGCTGCCATAGAAGAGAAGAGCTACTGTAATTATATTTTATCTAAGTAATAAGGCATCAAGCTGTGCTAGCACACATCCTTTTTCAGAATCCATCTGTGAAAGAAAGCTTCCTTCACAGTAGCCAGAGAGTTTTGCAGGGCAGGGCCAGCTGAGATGAAGCTGAAGCAGGAAAGTGCAAGCAAGGAAAGAGGTTTGCAAAAGCAGAGTTATAAACCTGTCGAGCTCGTCCACCGGAGTGCCGCTGCCCCCCAAGCCGCAGTAGCAGCCGTAGTGGTTGAATTCCAGCAGTGGGTGGCTTTCGGGCAGGGTGCACTTGATCAATTCGCGGAACAGCCACACGGCCCGGGGCGAGACCTCGGCGCTGGCCGCGCCCACTGCGGAGAGACACGGGGTGCTTAGAGTCAGGTTTGGGGTTACCAGCACGAGGACGAGGGCACCTACGCACCCGACAGCAGGAAGAGCAGGGCCAGGAACTTCATTCTCGCAGCTCTTGACGCAAACACTGGGGCTAAGGGAAATGAGTCCTTATACGACAGGCTCACCTTGACATGGGTGTGAGATAAAACAGCCTGTATTTATGTTACTAAATGCAGACTTCTTCCATCGCAGGCTGTGCGTGGCAGGTTGTGGCGTGACCAGTTGAAGGCCAGTTGAGTTAAATCCATAAAAGCCCGAAAGACAAATATTTGCTCTCTAGATTTTTGCTATTAAATTCTTGTAGTATTACTATTAGAAGTCAGCCTGAAAGACCTGCATATTTTTAAGGGCTCTCCACTGAAAAATAATAGCAGTATGATAGTTAAGTTGGAGGTTTCTGGCACACTAATAACCTCCTGCCACTAATACTTGCATTCTCTTTTTATGGTATCCCACATATCATTAATCCTGTATCTCTCCATGGGTTCTCATGGCATAATTCAGAGAATAAGATACAGGTTGTCCACTCACATCAAATGACCATTTGGCATGAGGTCAACTGAAAAAAAAAAAAAAATTAAGCTATTCTTTGCTTTAAAACCACAGAGAGAAGGAGGTACTACTAGACAAGAAATAGGAGCCAAGTGACCTAGAAAACCTTTAGGTGGCTTAAACAAGTAGTAGTATCTGGTTTTATGTGGCCTTAAGCAATCTGCATTGGAAATGAACCAGGCCTAGAAGTTGCAACATACACAGCAGACTTCAGTGACTTAGAGCAGTTTCTCTTTCTCCAGCACCAATGCAGAACCCAGTTAAGAACCTTTGGTTTTCTATGCCACGGGATGAGAAGAATTGGGAACCTTGAAAGAAGTTAAAAAAATGGGTAAGAAAAATCTTCCTGGAATCAGTCAGGGATAAGTAAAAACAGTGCGCTCATGTTTAGATCCCAGAGGCTCTGGCATTTTCAGGGCTAGAGGTCTGGCATTTTTACACACTCAAGGCAGTTCCATAGTTACATGGTTGTCAAGTCTGCATTGATAAAAAAACACCAAAGAAACACAAAGGCCACCTTTCTGCAGCAGCCCAACACACCAGGGTGCTCATGCAGGAAACTTTGGGCTCACATGCCACAGTAGGTTCAAAGGGTTGATGAGGGCACTTTCCTCCTCACAGGGCCTGACACTACACCAGGGCACCCACAGTACCCACTGGACGTTGACATATCCATAGGACATTTAGGGAAAAGTTAGATATGGTGCTGAACAACCAGATCCATGCATGTCTCCCCACTCATGGGTTACCTACAGCTGAACAGATGCTGGGTTGATTTAAGTTAGACATGGTGCTGAACAACCAGATCCATGCAGACTTTTTTCATCTCTTCAAGTACTCCCATCCTGGGTCTCCCCACTCATGGGTTACCTACAGCTGAACAGATGCTGGGTTGATTTAAGATTCTCAGTGTTCTAACCGAGTATTGAACAAACATTAAAAGCTGATGTAAAGGACAATCTGTACCAGTTAGTTCAGAAAAAATAATTTTGTCTTTTGCCCACAGATCAATCTGCCAACTTTCCCTTCAATATCCACTTAAGAGTTCTCTGTCTTCTCTGCTTTTAACATTAAAAAAAAAATGTTTTCTTACCTATCAAACTTAGGAGTCTGGTTCCTTTTTCCTCTGCTCTCAGTATCTGATGTATTATTGATATTTCCTAGAAAGTTTCCAGTCAACTGGCCTTTTTAAAATCATAAGTCAACAATTTCCTATATTTTTAGTTCAACAAAAGGATCACCATGTGTGGGAAAGCAAGCACATGAGTATTACAAGAGTGCCTCATGAGAAAAATCCCAGCAGGGTAGATTTTTCCACCAATGCTATTTTTGGTTTCCCCCAACCTGTGCTGTATACAAAGCCACTGGTCCCTCGGTACATTGTGAGCACATTTCAACCTATAACTGGGTCCAGTTTATAGGTTTAACCCTTAAATTATTTTAGACTTTTTTATAAGCCCTATTGCAGAGTTCCTTACAATTCCACGCTGTTAAAATTCTCTTTTCTCTAATTTGTCTGTTAATGACTTTACTTCCCATCTTCTCATTTTACTTCCTTGCATCTAGCTTCCTTGGTCCACCACAGTCAGCTGAATCCAGGGTATGTGCTAAACCTGTAAGCACATTATCTCCTTTTCTGAACCTACAAATACTTACACAAAACCTCTGTAATGTAAAGAGATACAATCTCTACTAAAACCAGATCTGCCTCACATTATAAACTGGCCACTGCCAAAATGTGGGAGCAGAACAGCAAGTCAGAGACCTGCCTGGGGCTTTTATCCTTAAGGTAGGATGCAACTCCTGCCAGGTCCTGAAATCTCCCCCACTGGAAAACCTTGCACCCCCAAATAATGACAGAGAGGGACAGTTTTCAAATAATTTATTAGGAATTTAAAACTGAAATCTGGAAAAAGGGTTACAGGTGTGGAGAGAACAAACACTGGAGTGTAATAACTTACTGGCTTAAAAACACAGCTTTATTTCTTTTAAAAAAAATGCCCACCCTGAAACCAGAGCCCCAGCCTCCAGGCAGTGGCCAGAGAGTGACTCACAGCCCCGCAGCAGCACAGCTGGCCCGGGATGTCTGGAGGGGGCAGGAAGCAGCTCAGCGCACACACCAAGAGGGAGGAAAGCGCTGTCTGCAGACCCAAATTTGAAGTATATAGAATAAAAATAAACCCAATAAAATGCAGCTCTTCTTTAATTAGGAAATATTTAAAAAAACAGACATACAGACTCTTGTCTCAGTAACAAAAATTATTGCTTTGTGTTTTCAGTACTGATCTGTTAAGTACCTTCTTACCTAAACAGAACTCTCCAAACGCATCGCCCAGGTCAGGACAAGTTCCAGCAGACAGGGGAGAGACAGAAGAGAAAAAGGGCCCTGTGGGCACTGTGGCCCTCCCAGTCCTTTTCTAAATGCCCATCTCCTTTACAGGGGCTCAGTTTGGGGGAAGAGAGGGAATGATTTTTAAAACTTAAGATGAAGCTTTTATTTCCCTGGGAAAAGAGTTTGGCTGCATCTTAATAAAAGGCTTAATCACCCCCCTTAACAAGGTCTTTGGTTCACTGAAATCCAGACCCAAACCTGCCCCATGTATTCCTGCTGGAAGCCTCCCCTGGCAGAGTGCTGGTTGGCAGAGGCCTGGACCATAGCAGGGGAAGCCCCAGCAGGCTCTGGAGAAGGGACCAGATCACCCCGCACAGGACAACGGACAAATTCCCACAGTCTTCAGAACACAGAGTAAAGCAAACGGGAAGCTGCAATTCTATAATTCATATAATCCCTGAGAAGCCCTTAACCCGCCCCCAAATCACCACCCTAATGCTTTTCTCCCCTGTTAATGAATCCCCATCCCAGAGCCCTGCCCTTCAGAGAACAACTACCCAAATCTCCCCCTGGCTGACACCCCTTCCGATACCCTCGCCTCCGGAGGAGGATCCCCTTTCCCAGGAAATCTTGACGCAAGCGATAAAGTTTGGAGAGTGAATTCCTTTCAAAGTAACCAAGACAAGCAACGGCGGCAAAGCCCTTTCCCTAAGGCAGCCCAGAGCCAGTGCTACGGAGCCCAGGGATGGAGTCTGTACATCAAGCAATTGGAAGCAGCTTTAACCCGCTCAGCAAAACAGCCGATGGCTGGTACGTTTCACCCCGCCCACCCCCCCGCCCCCCTTTCATCTCATCTCATCAGAGGTCTTAAAATCTTACAGTAAAAGGTGTACAAAAAAAGAACGAAGTCCTGTCAGGATTCTGCTGGAGAGTATTGCTCACGCTGCGGCACCAAGTCCAGGACCTGGAGCTGCTCCTTGGAGCCAGGCTGTAGGCAGCAGCCAGGTTCAGCTCACGATATTTACATATTATACAGGAGGAAAAAGAAAACCCCACGTAAAACTAAACCTAGGAAAAAAAATCTTTCAGCTGTAAGGATAGTGTTTTTCACTTAGCAAAATATACATTTGTTTTGTTCCATAGCGATGTCCAACGTTTTCGGATCCTTGGAGTTTCACACTTTTCAAAGCCTCACATTTACAAAACAGAAACAATTAAAAACAGTTTCTTTAAAAAAAATAGAAATACAGCAGTTCCTCTCAGCCTTTGCTCTCTCTCTCTCTCTGTCTCTTTCTTCACGTCAGAACTGCATTCTTGTTACATACCGTGCTTTAAAAACACTGACGACAACAACAACAGAGTTGAAAATATTCAAAACAGTTTCAAAGCCAAATAAAAATACTCCTCAATGAAAACTACCTAACACAATCACAAAGCCAATTCATAAAATATGTCTACTAGCTCGGGAAAGAGCAAACAACAAAAAGAAGGGGCAGCCCCCAAAAAAGATAAAAAAATAAAATAAAAAAATAAAACTAACAGCTAATAAAATAAATAAAAGAAGAATCAGTGGGCTGGGGGCGGGGAGGGGGAAGCGTAAACCGTCGGTGGTTAGTAGGAAAGCGAGATGATCTCCTCGGGTTCAGTCCAGTGTGGTCTGGTCAAAGGGAGAGATCGGGCAGGGCGGCAGGAGCCTGGCAGCCAGCCGGCAGTGTGCAGTTTGATTCAAGAGAAACGTAACCTTGGCTCATCCCCCGAGGCTCACCAGATCCTCCAGCCACTCGCTGTCCTCGGTCAGGTCACTGGGGAATCTGTGGGAAACAGCAGGGGAGGGAAGGGACAGGGTCTAGAACAACCACAGCTTTTCTCCTGGGGTTTTCTTCTGGTGTGATCTGACAGAAACACTCAATACCCAAACTTTGCCCCAACACAGTCTTGCTCTGCACATCACTGGCACAGGGACGGGGCATGGCAGAGATGTTTCAGTCTTCAATGGCAATGTGCAGGCCTGGGAAACAAGGTCCCACACACCACGTGGCCTGGTCCCTGCAAGTCCAGCCATTTCCCCAGCACTCAGCTCAGTCCAGCCCTGCCAGGCTTCCTGTCTGTGGACACTGCTCCCTCCAGTTTTTGCCCTCCTTTTTGAAAAGCTGGTTGTTTACTTTTTTTAATTTTAAA